AGAGGGGGGGTACTTGCAGTGTTAAGTGCCACTGCTCCCTTGCTGCCACAGTTCTGGACCCAGGCCTGACATGGCTCCATGGGTCAGGGTTAACAACCCCTGCAGGAGAGTCTTAACATCTTTGATTGTGTAATGTAATTAATTTTCCTTTCATGTTAAAATGCTTTCTAATATACTTCTACATTAGGGTTTAAAAGGGAGATCAGATGGTCTAGGAAGGAGCTTTTCCTGTTTTCCCATTAGTAAGGTTGATCATTTACAGAAAGCCGTAGCTATATACTTATTCAATAAGGGTAAAACTCCTTAGGGCTCATTTATGACTTACCTCTGCTTGCATTGAAACCCTGTCATTGATAGCAGAGGTAGAGCAACACTGCATACTTTAAAAAGGAATGTGCTACAGGTTTATGCAGAAAATAATTTTTGAATACTAGAAGGAATGTTCTGAGGAAATTTAAATTAAATTAAAATTTTAATTTAATTTAAAAATAGGATATTTGTATATTTAATGATTTTTCATTTGTGGGAATACCAGATATATTTTAAATATTCTACTTTTTAGTAAAATGGGAAAAAAGAAACATTTACTTTAAAACATAACTAATGCATGTGACAAATCATAGGGAGTTTGATGGGGGTCTTTCATTTGGGATCTTGTTTTGCTTTCAGAGAAATCAAGCAAAACTCCCAATGATTACAGTGATGACAGCCTCCCAACTTTGAAAAGTTAAATATTTGGAAAACTTAAATTTCCATATACTTTCCATTAGATTTTTTAACACTAGTTTTATGAAATCAAAGGAAACTTTACATGCTTAAATAGGTCAACAGAACATCACTAGTTAGACTTTAACTGTAAATTCAGCTGTGATTACTATTTTATTAATTGGGTAAAAGGGCACCCTATATAAAATAGTCTTGCTTCCTTGTTTTGCAGAAATCAGCTCTGACATTAACTATGAAGCTGCCACTATTGCCTCCATAATTGATATCTTGGTTAAATGTACTCCTGGAGGCTCACATACGAGGGGATTTATCTTGTGAGCAGGAAGAGAACAGTCATGACTCTTTTAAATTTCCTCTTGTCCTTTGGGTTATAGGAATGCACAGACACATAACAGCCAGGGGCCCAGGGCAGTTGCCACGTGCAAAGGCAGTGGTAACTTCTGGTTGCTGCTGCACTTCTGGCATGATTTGGCAGCTGTGGCAGTAGCCATTTTCTTCTGAGGCCCTTCTTTCCAGGTTGGCACCTAGGGCAGCTTCCCCAGTCATCACGTGCTAGTTATGCCTCTGGAACGCAAAGGGCCCTTTCCCATCCCTCAACCAGAAATGTATCAAGGACAGTTCACTTCATGGGCTTTCAGAGAGGGGGCACTAGGTTTAATCCTGTTTCTTTTGTTCAGTAGCTTCCATCCTCAGAGAAGTGGAAGATAGTATGGTCTCAGCAGTGGGCTGGGACAAGTTTTTAAGGGAGAGGGCTTATGGCAGCTCTTCCTAACAGGTAGGAATTAACAAGGAATGAATAATGACCTATATTGTATAGGTTCTTGCTTGTTAATGAAAACAGATGAGTTATAAAATTATGGCCTAATTAAATCACATTCCTTACATCTCTTTTTTCTTTCTGTGTGACCAACACAGAACTTAGTTGCACTTTCAGATTGCAAGTAAATGTGCTAGGCTACCAGTCGGGAAGAAAGACACATTGGGCTAAATCCTATTTTATCTTCATGTACCTAAGTAGCACTTACATAGCTACATAACTGCAATTTTTGGCACTTACGCACAATTTTAATTCCATGCTACTATGCTTACCTTGCATTTCCCTGCAGAATGTGCTCAGTGGGCTGCACTCTAGCTGCATAACTCTCTAGAGGGAGCAGCCACACACACACACACACACACACACACACACACACACACACACACA